TACATATATATACACATGTATATATATATATATATATATATATATATATATATATATATATATATATATATATATATATATATATATATATATATTATGTATATAAATATATATATACATTGGAAGAAGACCATATTTTATACAGTATTGTATTAATTCTACCAAATTGTTGGCATTAATCAATTTAAAGTTTGTCTTTTCAATTTTCCTTACTATAATTTTCTAGAAATTGTTCAATTTGTTGAAAAGAGAATTTCAATAGTCTATATTACAGCCTGTCTGGTGTAAAAATGCAGTATGACAAATCAGATTTACTGTTTGTACTTGACACGGTTTTTGGTCGAAGGATTTTCTCCGTAATGGGTCCTGCAGTCAGGAATGGTTTGTCTAGGGACCTTCGTGATCCTGCGTTGTCTGTTGTTCAATTTCGTGAAAGGCTGAAACACCATCTTCTTGTCCAAGCTTACCCGTGCTAATATCATTTCTTATCCATTCCTTGCATCGCTTTAATAAAGTGCTAAGCAATGTATTGTAGGGCGCTTTCAAACCCACCAATAACAATAATAATACAAATAATAACAACAACAATAATAATATATACATATATGTATATCGTGCGTATTTATGTTTAATAATTATTATACTTTTTAATTTATTTTCAATTGTATCAGTCTACCATCAAAATGTTGAATTATTATCACCACGTGCCAAGGTTCATGCTGTTTTCGCTAGCGGACTCTGGCCAGGCGTCCATATTTTACCGGTCTGACGTCATTTCAGCACTTTTGAGATTGAATGAAGTTGGTAATTTGAATGAGTTCATCTAAATATCGTTGTTTAAATTCTCCTTTCAACTTTCAGTTAACAATATTTTGAATTGTCAATCATCAAGATCGATATTTATTAATGGAAATGTTTCAACAACAGAACAAAGTGCTCTTTAAACTGCCGCCAAACACACAACTGACCTTTCCTTTATATCTCTCCTGTAGAATCAATTGCTCCTTCGACATTCAGCTGGACAATGATGACGTCAGCGTAATAACTAAATCGTCGACAGCAACAACGACCACATCCTCTTCACAACATTCCCATTCCCTATGTACTAACACTACCTCTGCATCATTAGTAGCTCCTGCAGAGGAACTTCACGCATCAACATCATCAGCAGTTCAAGCATCGACCGCGCCAGCCACAATATCGGCAGCACCTGCCACATCAGTAGCAGATCTGGCAAGTGAGATGCCCGCAGATGATCAGATCCTACCTACACTTCCCCGAGAAGCACCTGTGGAGTTCGTCACTACGGAGGATATTTTTAAATGGTCATACCATGATGGGGCTGAAAAGACGATTGCCATTGCTAGCACTGAAATAGGACATCATTGCGACGCTGAAAAATCAAATGAGTATGCGGAAATGGATGAAAGAGATGACGCTGATGGAGACCACAAAGATAGTGACGTTGGAAAGAAAAATGGAAACAATGACGACGACGATGATGATGATGATGATGATGATGATGGTGATGATGATGATGGTGATGATGATGATGGTGATGATGATGATGGTGATGATGATGATGGTGATGATGATGATGATGGTGATGATGATGAAAGTCAAAATGAGGACGATGGTCATGACGATTATGGAAATAAAGATGATAATGATAATGATGGGAATAAAGACAATGTTGGTGAGGATCAAAATGGTGAAAATAAGATTGGTCAAGAAAATAATGTTGACAATAATTGTGAGTAACTAATGCAAAATAATAGCAACAAAATAAGGAACAATCAACGAATAAGATCGGTAAAGAAAATGGCAGTCTGAACCGACACGTAACTAAACCACATTTGTTTAAAACAGCATCATCTTTTTGAAATCATTTTATATACTTGTTCACTGAAATGTTTTTAATACCATGTATGAATATGCAGACGAAATAAAATTTTATTTTATAAATTTGTGACTAAAATCAATTATCACATTGCTAAATTTTAATAAAATTAAACAAAATTCTTATAGTAACATCAATAAATTATTTAAATAATAATTATAAGATTTGAAAAATAAAAGTGTGTGTGTGCGTGCGTGTGTGTTTGTGTGTATATATATATATAGATATATTATATATAAATAAATATACAATATTATATATGTACATACACATACATGTTGGTATCACTAGAGCACTACTGTCATATATAGAAAATGTATAAAGAAGATAAACGCCAAATTCAAATGTCACAGATTTATGAACCGTTTTATTGATTTGAAAGTTTTTTCATTTACTAACGCCCTCTCTTTCTTATCACTTTCTTTTTTCTCTCTCTCTCTCTCTCTCATTTAAATATATATATATATATATGTGTGTGTGTGTGTGTGTGTGTGTTTGTGTGTGTGTGTGTGTGTGTGTGTGTGTGTGTGTGTGTGTGTGTGTGTGAGAAAGAGAGAAAAAAAAGAGAGAAAAAGTTTGTGTAGCGTGTGTGTGTGTGTATGTGTGTGTATATGTGTGTGTGTATGCGTGGTGTTTGTGTGTGTGTAACGATAAAACAAATAAACCAACGAATCGGAAAAGACAATTTGATATAAGTGCATACATGATGCATACGTTGGTTGTCAGTGAGTTGTAGAGCAGCAGCTTGGATAGACTCCAGCATGAAGGAAGCATTGATGGGAGGCACCCTGGTGAGAACCACGGTAACATGCTTCATTCTATCTCCTCACACCATGACTTTTTTTGCACTCAACATTCATCGATTCTCGTTATTTGGTGTCACTTAAATGTTAGATTCAGTCACGTCCTTGTTTTTTGATGTTGTGTTGTAGGTGTTAGTTGTTGTTGCTATTGTTGTTACTGTTGTTGTCGTTATTGTTTTTGTTGTTTGTTTTACTTCAGGTGTTAGCTTTTGTTTATTGTTAGTAAGTGTTGTTTTTGTTTTGCTTCTTGTTTTTGTTAGCTTGCAGTTGAATGTTGTTGTTTGCAGTGTGCATGTGACGTGACATGTGATTGAGTCTATTTAAATTTTAAATTAATCTGCTGTTCAACTGTTGTTCCCTGTTGCGTAACATTTGTTCTACCAGTCTATATCAATTTATTTTTTGCTCGTTTGTTAGGTACAATTTGAGGAAAACAATTCAAGTTTGTTGCCGAAAGTTTGGATGACGTCGAAACGCTGCTACAATAGTGGAACAACTGAATGTTTCACTTAACGCTCCATATCAACACTTTGTAACTAATTTATTTATTGCAAAATTATCAAATTACTGATGTTTGGTTGAATTTTTGTATATATATATATATATATATATATATATATATATATATATATATATATATATATATATATATATATATATATTATTGATGAAAATCACAGCATGTTCAGCGTTCGTTAACTTCCAATTTAAGTTTTCGGTTTTTCGAACGCAGCAAGTGAAGTTTTTTAACAATCTGTCTGATGCTGTTGTTCTTAGATCTGGAGTTCTTCAAACATCTGTCTCAAGACCACTTCTGTTTCTTTTGTACACAGCTAAGATTATTAATATCGTTCGTAGACTTGGCTTCTACTGCCACTAATATGCTGATGATAATCAGATATCTGTAGTTTTGTCTCCGTTGAAAATACCTTTAATTATGAATTTATTGGTTGAATGCATGGATGATGTTGGTATTTGACTTGGTCAAAATGCTAAACCCAATGTTGTTCAAATTGGATGTAATGGTGTTTAAATGCCTAAATGGTCTGGCTC